TTATTACTAGTAAGAATTCCAATTACAGAGCTCTCTAATTCAGTTCTTACTAGTAACAATTTCAATTAGAGAGCTCTGCAAATGAATTTTTACTAGTCATATGTTTCCATTGACTTCCATTCATTTTTAATTACAGAGCTCTACAATTGAAATTTTACTAGTAAGTATTACAATTAGAGAGCTCTCTAATTTAGTTTTTACTAGTAAAAATTCCAATTAGAGGGCTCTCTAATTAAATTTTTACTAGTAACAATTGCAATTAGAGCTCTCAAATTTAATTCTTACAAGTAAAAATGCAATTACAGAGCTCATAATTAAATTTTTACTAGTAAAAAACAAAACAAATTAAAGATATGCTTAATTGCAGAGCTCATGATAATTGCGCCTCATGCATATTCATAAAACGGGTTTTTAATTTAATTATTGGTTGTAAAATACCTGTTTTTGTTAAGCTTTCTAGTCATGTTTCCATTGACTTCCATTCATTTTTAATTACAGAGCTCTACAATTGAAATGTTACTAGTATTACAATTAGAGAGCTCAATTGAATTATTACTAGTAAGAATTCCAATTAGAGAGTTCTCTAATTCAATTTTTACTAGTAACAATTGCAATTAGAGAGCTCTCTAATTAAATTTTTACTAGTAAGAGTTCCAAACAAAGCCGGAAAATAACTGTTGCGCGTCTCCGAGACATGTTTCGTACTTGCATGAATCTGTTTTTAAATTAATCACTCAGTAAGACAGAGTCGTGCTGCCACCTATTGGCCAAAACCACGGTTCCAGCACAAAAACACACTCAGCAAAATATCGCCTAATTAAGCTTATCGAAAAAATACCCCAAAATAATGTCGCAATTGAATTTTCCCCCCTAATGTCTGACCAAAAAAAAAAAAAGAGAAAGACAGAAAGAAAGAAAAATAAAGAAATTTTAAAACACATTTTGTCAAGAGTGACAATTAACCTATTAATTAGCCTATATATGTACTAGCTCAAATTTTGCATGCATGTTACAGTGCATAATAAACACCAAAATGAGGTGATATTTTGTCTGGTAAAGTATTTTCAAGACTACATACAGGCTACTCTTTATTTTCATTTTTGTGATATGGACCTAAGGGTCTGAAATAAAGAAATAATAATAATAATAATATAAAGGTGTGAATTAAGGAAGTGATTAAATATTAAAACAAAACCTTTCCAAACTGTCATCTCACTCTTATGGTCATTCTGACACAATGAAAATGCTATCAATTCATGCTTATGGGGCTTTTATTTTGAAGTGTATCACCACAGGTGGGATTTGGAAAGGCAAATGGATGTAGTCGCAAATCTGTTTCGCATCTAATGAATACAAGTTTTTACTAGTAAGAATACAATTGTAGAGCTCTGTAACTAGATTTCTTACTAGTAAGAATTGAATTAGAGAGCTCTGTAATTGCATTTTTACTAGTATGAACTGAATTAGAGAGCTCTCTAATTGGTATTGTTACTAGTAAGAATTGAATTGTAGAGCTCTCTAATTTAATTCTTACTAGTAACAATGCAATTGCAGAGCTCTCTAATTAAATTTAATTAAATTAGAGCTCTCTTGTATTTATAGCTAGTTAAAATAGATGTAGAGAGCTCTCTAATTGGCATTGTTACTAGTAAGAATGTAATTGTAGAGCTCTCTAATTGAATTCTTACTAGTAAAAATGCAATTCTGACGAGTAACGCTTGGAATATTTTAAGCTAAAACGGCTTGCCATACAAATCGCCCTACTGCTAAAAAGCTGTTCGTTAGTACAAAACCAAAGGAAACAACTGCCATTAATAAAAAGAAAACAGCTTTGCATAATTCATGGAAACATGTTAATGAGCTATGGAAGCACAGTTTTCTCACGTCTGTTTTTTTCTTCTCTCAGTCTAGCGCACGCACACGTAAGTTCAAGAGCAAGGTTGGGAAAATGAAGGAAGGAGAACCGCAAGGGCAGGTATTGCTAATGTCCGCACTCAATCATGTCCTCGCTAATGACTTTCTGTCCTAGTCATGCCACTGGTTTTATGAATGGCTCCTACCTCTCTGGACTCCTTTCAGCGATGTCACGTGTTCAGCAGAGACCGCCGCGCGCCTCTAGAACTGCGAGGTCTCGGTGAAGGAAATAGCGTCGCTTTTGTCGATGGTGAATCCACCGTTCACGTAAGATTTCTTCTCACACTCGTCGTCGTCCAGCGTGGTCTCCAGTGCGAAGGGGTTGGCCGCGTCCACGTCTGAAATCAGGTCCATCCTCTCTAGTTCTCGCTTTGACAGCTTCTGGACTATTCCAGCGCCGTAGGCGTCTCCCAGCACGTTGATCATGGTACGGAAGCGATCGCTGATTTGATGAGAGAAATCAATGTAAACTTTCACACTATAGCAACTATAGGGTTTTTAGCAGCCATTACTCCAATCATCGAGTCAGGCCTCCTGTAACGAATCCATGCATTTTTGTAAGATGAATATCCATATTTCAAACTTAATAAACACCTTTTTTTCACTTCTGCTGACTGTCATACGCGGAAGCTGTTCTGGCGGATGACGTAAGACGTCGGCGTTGCGTGATTAGTGACGAACGCGGAGACTAAACAAAACAAAACGCCGGTCACGAATTAGAAGCACAAAACGAGCATTTGTAAAGAAAAATGTCGGAGGATTTCGATATAAGCCAAGAGGAGACTGGTTCTCCTTTGCTAAAGTAAGGAAACTTTGTTTCCTTTGCTCCTGCATTTCTCAGAGGCGCACGCACGACGCATACATCTTGCCTCATCCGCCGGAACGGCTTCCGCATATGACAGTCAGCGGAAGTGAGAAAAAAGTGTTTATTACGTTTGAAATATGGATATTTATCAAACAAAAATGCATGGATTCGCTACAGGAGGCCTTTATAAAGAAAAATGTCAGAGGATTTCGATATAAGCCAAGAGGAGACTGGTTTTCCATTGCTAAAGTAAGGAAACTTTGTTTCCTTTGCTCCTGCATTTCTCAGAGGCGCACGCACGACGCATACATCTTGCCTCATCCGCCGGAACGGCTTCCGCATATGACAGTCAGCGGAAGTGAGAAAAAAGTGTTTATTACGTTTGAAATATGGATATTTATCAAACAAAAATGCATGGATTCGCTACAGGAGGCCTTTATTTATCCTCCCGGAGCTGTGTGAGGGACGTTTTATTACGGATGTGCGCACTTTATTTCACGTCTTCTGAACTGTTGACAACCAACACCCGCTTACCCCCATTGAAAGGCTTCGAGGGGCCAGGACAATTTTTAATATAACTCCGACTGGATTCGTCTGAAAGAAGAAAGTCACATACACCTAGGATGCTCTGAGGGTGAGTTAAACACAGGATAATTTTCATTTTTGGGTGAACTAACCCTTTAAGAACTCCTAGGAACTTTGTATTTATGAGTTAGGA